AAATATAAGTTGGCTGTAGATGTTTGGATTGATTTCTGGTGTTTCAATTCTGTTCCATTGGTCTATCCATCTGTTTCTGTACCAGTACCATGCTGTTTTGATTACAACTGCCCTGTAGTATGTCCTGAAGTCTGGTATTGTGATGCCTCCGGCTTTGTTTTTGTTGTACAAGATTGCTTTAGCTATTCGAGGTCTCTTGTGTCTCCATATAAATTTCAGCACCATTTTTTCCAGATCTGAGAAGAAGGTCTTCGGTATCTTGATTGGTATTGCATTGAATCTATAAATTGCTTTTGGGAGAATGGACATTTTGATGATATTGATTCTTCCAATCCATGAGCATGGAAGATTTTTCCATTTCTTGGTATCCTCTTCTATTTCTTTCTTTAAGGTTTTGTAATTTTCATCGTAGAGATCTTCATCGTCCTTGGTTAAGTTTATTCCAAGGTATTTGATTGTTTTTGTAGCTATTGTGAATGGGATTGATCTTAGAAGTTCTTCCTCAGCCATGGCATTGTCTGTGTATACAAAGGCTGTTGATTTTTGTGCAATGATTTTATACCCTGCTACTTTGCCAAACTCTTCTATGAGTTCCAATAGTTTCTTAGTAGAGTTCTTTGGGTCCCCTAAATAAAGAATCGTGTCATCTGCAAAGAGGGATAGTTTGAGTTCTTCCTTCCCAATTTGTATCCCTTTAATTTCTTTTTCTTGCCTAATAGCTCTGGCTAGAACCTCCAGAACTATATTGAATAGCAGTTTTGAGAGTGGGCATCCCTGTCTGGTACCAGATTTCAGTGGAAATGCTTCCAACTTTTCCCCATTCAATAGGATGTTGGCTGTGGGTTTTTCACAGATTGCTTTGATTGTATTGAGGAATGTTCCTTCCAAACCCAGTTCGCTTAGAGTTTTCATCATGAACGGGTGTTATATTTTATCAAATGCTTTCTCGGCATCTATTGAGATAATCATATGGTTTTTCTTCTGCAGTCTGTTAATGTGGCGTATCACATTGATTGTCTTGCGCACATTAAACCATCCCTGCTTACCAGGGATAAATCCCACTTGGTCTGGGTGGATAATCTTTCTGATGTGTTGTTGCATTCTATTGGCGAGAATTTTATTGAGGATTTTTGCATCTATGTTCATCAGGGATATTGGTCTGTAATTCTCTTTCAGTGCTGCATCTTTTTCCGGCTTAGGAATTAAGGTGATGCTGGCTTCATAGAAAGAATTTGGGAGGATTCCCTCTTCTTCGATTGTTCTGAATAGTTTGAGAAGAATTGGAGTTAGTTCTTCTTTAAATGTCTGGTAGAATTCAGCAGTGAATCCATCTGGTCCTGGGCTTTTCTTTGTTGGGAGGGCCTTTATTACTGTTTCAATTTCTATCTCAGTTATGGGTCTGTTTAGGTTTTCGATGTCTTCCTGGTTCAATTTAGGTAGGTTGCATGTGTCCAGGAATCTATCCATTTCTGATAGGTTTCCCTGTTTGCTGGCATACAAGTCCTTGTAGTAATTTCTGATGATTCTTTTTATTTCTGTGGTGTCTGTTGTTACATTTCCTTTTTCATCTCTGATTTTATTGATTTGGGTCTTTTCTCTTCTTTTTTTAGTTAGTTGGGCCAATGGGGTGTCAATTTTGTTTATTTTTTCAAAAAACCAGCTCCTCGTTTGGCTGATTTTTTGTAATGTTTTTCTTGATTCAATCCTGTTGATTTCTTCTCTGATTTTAATTATTTCTCTTCTCCTACTAGATTTGGGTCTGGTTTGCTGTAGGTTTTCTAGATCCTTGAGGTGAATTGAAAGCTCATCTATTTGGTGCCTTTCCAATTTCTTGATGTAGGCACCTATTGATATAAACTTTCCTCTTAACACTGCTTTTGCTGCGTCCCATAAGTTTTGGTATGTTGTGCTGTTATCCTCATTTACTTCCAGAACATTTTTGATTTCTCTTTTAATTTCTTCTATGACCCATTGTTCATTCAGGAGCATGTTTTTCAATCTCCATGTGTTTGCGTATGCTCTTGGGATTCCTGAGTTGCTAATTTCCAACTTCATCCCACTGTGGTCTGAGAAACTGCATGGTATGATTCTAATTCTTTTGAATTTGCTGAGACTTGCTTTATGGCCTAGTATGTGGTCAATCCTAGAGTAGGTTCCATGTACTGCTGAGAAGAATGTAAAATCTTTAGCTGTAGGATTGGACATTCAGTAGATATCTGTTAGATCCATTTGGGCTATAGTGTCGTTTAAATCTACTGTCTCCTTGTTGATCTTCTGTCCTATTGATCTGTCTATTTCTGAAGGTGGAGTATTGAAGTCCCCCAGTACTATTGTATTGGGGTCTAAGTCTCCCTTTAAGTCCGTTAACAAATCTTTTAGATAAACTGGTGCCCTGTAGTTAGGTGCATATACATTGATAATTGTTATATCTTCTTGTTGTATTGATCCCTTAATCATTATATAGTGCCCATCTTTGTCTCTCTTAACAGTTTTTGTGGTAAAGTTTATGTTGTCTGATATTAAGATGGCTACGCCTGCTCTTTTTTCATTTCTGTTGGCATGGTATATCTTTTTCCAGACTTTCACTTTCAGTCTGTATGGATCTTTGTTGGAAAGATGTGTTTCTTGTAAGCAGCAAATAGATGGGTTTTGTTCCTTAACCCAATCAGCCAATCGGTGTCTTTTAACTGGACAGTTCAGGCCATTAACATTCAATGTGACTAATGATAAAGTGGTTGCTTTGCCCTGCCATTTGCCAAAGATAAGTTCTAATATATGCTTTGAATTCCCTGTGATCTTTTGCTGTGAGCTTTCCTTCCTTTATCTTCTTTCATATTGATGACCGTGTTTCTGTGTTTCTGTGTGTAACACATCTTTAAGCATCTGTTGCAGGGCTGGATGAGTGGTGACAAATTCTTTCAATTTCTGTTTGCTATGAAAAGTCTTTATTTCACCTTCATTCACAAATGATAGCTTTGCAGGATATAATATTCTGGGCTGGCAGTTTTTCTCTCTTAGTACCTGGGCTATATCTCACCATTCCCTCCTAGCTTTGTTTCATTTGTTTTTGATGTTCACATATTTTTTTCTTTTTTTGTGCAGGCAGAGTGCACAGTGAGAGAGAGAGAAACAGAGAGAAAGGTCTTCCTTTTGCCATTGGTTTACCCACTGCGGCCGACACACTGTGGCCAGCGCACTGCGCTCATCTGATGGCCTGAACCAGGTACTTATCCTGGTCTCCCATGGGGTGCAGGACCCATGTACTTGGGCCATCCTCCACTGCACTCCTGGGCCACAGCAGAGAGCTGGCCTGGAAGAGGGGCAACCGGGACAGAATCTGGCACCCCGACCAGGACTAGAACCCGGTGTGCCAATGCCGCTAGGTGGAGGATTATCCTAGTAAGCCCCGGCGCCAGCCCGATGTTCACATATTTCAATAACTTAAGAGAAATCCTCACATTTCAAATAACATAGGAAAAGAAGGTTACAATTTTAATTTTATTGCAATCTTTTAAAAGTTTTTTTTTTTTTGAGGCAGAATTACAGACAGACACAGGGAGAGACAGAAAGACAGATCTTCTTTTCTTGGTTCACTACCCAAATGGCCACAACAGCCATAGCTGGACCCATTCGAAGCCAGGAGCCAGCAGCCTTCTTTGTCTCCCACATGGGGGCAGGGCCCCAAGCACTTGGGCCATCTTCCATTGCCTTCACAAATCATTAGCAGAAAGCTAGATCAGAAGTGGAACAGCAAGGACTTGAACCACTGTCCATATTGGATGCTGGTGCTGCAAGCAGAGCTTTAACCTGTTATGCCACAGTGCCAGCCATGTTACTGTGATCTAGTAAAATGTTACATGAAAATATTATTTAATCTATTATATATTTTCAGTACTATCAGTTTATTTCACCTAAGGTTGGTCAAACAGATACATAGCAAATAAGGGAATTTTATTTAAGTACAGGAGAGACAGAGGAGACTGTTCAGAGGTTAATGGCAGCACAGGACCCATGAAATGCAGAGACGAGTGAATAGCAAGACATATTTTCCTCTTTCCTCCGGAGCATATAACAGGATCAAATCTTATCTTGCTCAAAGTATGAATGGAGAAGATTATGTCATTTATTTGATCAATTCTTTGAGAAAGATTAGCTTTAAAAAATGCTATCATTGAACTTCCACTAGAACCCAGCACCCTGGGTTCTAGTCCCGGTTGGGGTACCAGATTCTGTCCCAGTTGCTCTTCTTCCAGTCCAGCTCTCTGCTGTGGCCCAGGAAGGCTGTAGAGGATGGCACAGGACCTTGGGCCCTGCACCCGCATGGGAAACCAGGAGGAGGCACCTGGCTCCTGGCTTCAGATAGGCACAGTGCACCGGCTGTAGCAGTCATTTGGAGGATGAACCAATGGAAGGAAGACCTTTCTCTCTGTCTCTCTCCCTCTCACTAACTCTTCCTGTCATTAAAAGATTAAATTCAGAATCTATACTAACCAAGAATGGTTATTATTCAGAGTGTTTATCAAGAAATAAACCAAAATAAACGTAACAGTGAGATAAAATAACTACACGCATGGGTGTATCATGGACACTTATAAAGTGTGCTCTTCATTGGAATCCACCAAAAATTACAGAGCTCTCACTAAGTAGCCAGAAAATTATCTGGATTTTATAGATTCAAAGTAAAAACTCATTGCCCTTGACTTTGAAAAAGTAAAAATAAGGTAAACTCAGCAAACAATTTTCACAGCATGACAATTTCATGGTCCAGGTCCTGCAGAAGGCCAGCAGTGGGACATAGTATATGATCATGAATGCCAAGTGCGCAGCTGCAAACAGAGTGGCTCCCAGGAGAGCGTGACTGGGGCTGCAGGCAACAAGTGTACACTTGGAATGATCCATACATCTTGTGGTTGAGAATGATCAATAATATAGTATTTCTCATAACAACATTTCTTACTTTATCCTCAGACATTTACTACATCTTTCTTCCCCCAAAAAAGATGAATAAAAACAATATACTTTCCAATCTCATTGCTGCCAGAAATGCCTTATTCTTGGAAGTCAGCTTTGGGATCACTGCCAATGCCTTCCTTCTTCTCTTCCACATCCTCTGGTTCTTTCTCAAGCACAGGCCCAGGCCCACCGACCTGACCATTGGGCACCTGGCCCTCATCCACCTGCTGATGCTGATCACCGTAGGGGTTATAGTCGCAGAAGTTTTTGAGATTCATGACTTATGGGATGACATCACCTGTAAAGCTGTCATCTACTCATACCAGGTGATGTGGGGCCTCTCCCTGAGCACCACCTGCCTGCTGAGTGTCCTCCAGGCCATCACTCTCAGCCCCTGGAGCTCCTGTTTAGCAAAATTCAAGCTTACATCCTCACAGCACAACATGTGTGGATTTCTCCTCCTATGGGTCTTCAATTTGTCCAGTCGTGCTCGTTTCTTGATCTCAACTGTTGCTACTCCGAATGATACATCCCACGGTCTTATGTTTGTCACTCAATCCTGCTCTCTCTGGCCACTGAGCTACTTACCCAGGCACACATTTTCTATGTTGGGGATCTTCTGGGATGCCTCCTTAATAGGGCTCATGGCCGTCTCAAGTGGGTACATGGTCACTCTCCTGTGCAGGCACAAGAGGAGGTCCCAGCACCTTCACAGCACTAGGATTTCTCCAAGAGCCTCCCCAGAGCACAGGGCCACCCAGACCATCTTGCTGCTAATGAGTGCCTTTGTGCTCCTGTACTTCATGGACTGCATTGTGTACTCCTTATCAGGGATGTGGTGGAACAGCGACCCAGTTCGCCTGTGCATCCATTTGTTGGTGGGCAATGGCTATGCCACCATTGGACCTTTGTTGTTCATCAGTAGTGAAAAGCGAATGATCCAGTTTTTCAAATCCATGTTGGAAAGGCATGTAAGTGTTTAATTTTTCATTAATGCCTGATTTCAAGAAAGAATAGGAACAGGGCAGCCTTTACTAGGCTAGGAGAAAATGGTTTTTAAAAAATCATCTATTATTTTACACTTTATGTTTCTGTGTGGGAGCAAACTGTTGAAATCCTTACTTAATGTATACTAAGCTGATCTTCTGTATATTAAGATAATCGAAAATGAATCTTGATGTGAATGGAAGGGGAGAGGGAGTGGGAAAGGGGAGGGTTGTGGATGGGAGGGACGTTATTGGGGGGAAGCCATTGTAATCCATAAATCCTACTTTGGAAATTTATATTCATTAAATAAAAGTTTAAAAAAAAAGTGGAGACTGTGCATTCTCATGTGATAGTTGGAGGGACAACTACAGTGTAGATTCTGTGGAAGGAAGAGCGATGCTGTGGATCTGTGTGCAGGCTGCACAGGCACCACAACGAGCATGCACAAAACAAACGAACCCAATAGCCCTGAGCTGCAGAAAGCACCAGCTCTGGAGATCAAAATGAGATCAGAGTGCAGCAGCCCAGGCCACTGTAGTAACAGCTGCAGTGACACAACAGACTCCACTTGGAGTCCAGTCCACAACCCTGAGGGGAACACAGTTCTTACTCAACCAGCAGAGAAGAATAGGGGCACATCTCTCTCTTCCCATAACCCTAACAACAGCGTACATCAACCGGCTGCCAGAGGGTGGGTGCCATTTTGAAGCAGCTGCTTCAGGGACAGTCGCCATCTCATCAGCACAGGCAATGGCAGCAATTCCCATGCACTCATCTGGCAACAGATGGGGAGAGGCAACCTTTCCAGTGTTAGTCCCAGCTGAAGAAACTCTTGTAAATGCCCAACATGATTGTGAAACAAGCAGGGTCGTGCTGGTATTCCGCACGCATGTGATCCAGGGATTTTACCAGATGAAAAAAAATCCACATTCCCCACTGATGTTGAGCCTGGCTGGAGGACTGACAGGGGCTCAGCACCAATCTACAACTCTGAGGTATGCTCAACCTCTCAGTGTATCACAAACTCCAGAGTCCAGGGCTCAATGCACCAAGGAAACAATATGATCAAAGTGTGCATACTGCCAAAAGCAATTTACAGATTCAATGTAACCCCAATCACAATACCAATGACATTCCTCTTAGATCTAGAAAAACCAATGGTAAAATTCATATGAAAACAGAAGAGACCCTGGATAGCTAAAGCATATCTTATACAGCAAAACCAAAGCCAGAAGCATCACAATACCAAATTGCGAATATTACTACAAGGAAGTTATAATTCAAACAGCCTGGTACTAGTTAAAATAAAACAGATGCATAGACCAATGGAACAGAACAGAAATGCCAGATATCAATCCAGCATCTACACCCAACTTATATTCAAACAAGGAGCTAAAACCATTCCCTGGAGAAAGGACAGTCTCTTCAACAAATCGTGCTGGAAAAACTGGATTTCCACATGCAGAAAAATGAAGCAGGACCTCCACCTTACACAAAAGTCCACTCAAAGTGAATCAAAGACCTAAATCTACAACCTGCTACCATCAGATTACTAGAGAACACTGGAGAAACGCTTAAGTCTTTACCTATGCCAATGTCCTGATTGGAAAAGACCACAGAGGCAGAGGAAGTCAAAGTCAAAATTAACAAATGGGATTACATCAAACTAAGAAGCTTCTGCACTGCAGAAATACTCAGCAAAGTGAAGAATCAACTGAGAGAATGGGAGAAAATATTTGCCAACATGGCAATTGAAAAAGGATTAATATCCAGAATCTATGACGAGCTCAAAAAACTCAACTTCAACAACACAACAATCCAGCGAAGAAATGGGTAAAGGTATTAAGTAAGTATTTTTTCAAGAGGCAAAACTCTACTGGCCAAAAGACACATAAAAAAATGCTCAGGATCACTAGCCATCACGGAGATGCAAATGAAAAGCACAACGAGATTTGACTTCACCCCATTTAAAATGCCTGTCATACACACATCAACAATCAACAAATGCTGGCAAGGATGTGGTGGGAAAGGTAGCCTACTCCACAGCTGGTGACATGTAAACTGATACAACCAATGTTGAATGACCCAACCATCCCACCCCTGAATATTTAACGAAATGAAGATAAATCAGCATATTAAAGAGATATCTGCACACCTATGTTCACTGCAGCTCAATTCACAAAAGCCAAGATATGCATTTAACCCAGATGTCTACCAAATGAAGACTGGATAAAGAAATTATGATACATACGCACTATGAAATACTACACAGCAGTAAAAAATATGAAGTCCTGTCATTTGCAACAAAATGGATGCACCTGGAAACTACAATTCTTAGTGAAATAATCCAGTCCAAAAAAGGCAAATACCATATGATTTCCCTGATCTGGAATAACCAATACAGTACCTAAAATGTCATCTATAGGAGTGAAATCACACTTTGAAATTCAATAATTTTTTGTAGCCTTTGTCTTGACTTTGAGGAACAGTGGTTTTTTTCTTCATACTATTTGTTGAACTCTACTTAGCATTTTGTTGACTTATAAGTATAAAGCTAACGTAGATATTTGTTAATTTAAGAATGAGAATTGGAGAGGATGGAGAAGAAAGGTAGGAGAAGAGGTGAGAGAGAGGATAGGGTGGAAATTATCATTATGTTCCTGAATCTGTACATGGGAATTGCATGAAATCTGGATACCTTAAATATTTAAAAAACTCTTCAATAATTAACATGTCTTTAGATAGTAAATATTTGACCTCAAAATGATTAATGGTTGTGTACAAGATGTGCTCTGCAGGTTCACAGATATTTATGGAGTTCAGGGTTTTTTCTGTTAAACTACTTATGTTGTTGCATTTTGACATGTGAAAAATAGGTAACTTAACCCTACAACAACTATTGAGTAAACCCAAGCATCTAATTCAAATCAGATGCATAATAACTAGAGCTTGTCCTGAGTTACAAACTTTAAGTGACTAAACACATGTGAGTTTTCAAGATGTAGATGTGATCTGAGGACATACACAGGATAGAAGGACAAGAAAGGGGCATAGGAAACACTGGGGAATTGACTATGGACCCAGTCACAGGACCCAGAGCAGGTGCTTGTGGCCCTGTGAGGGACAGAGCTCAAATACAAAGGAAGGAGGCAACGGCACTGTCACTCCCCCTCTTCGTGGAGGAGCGACACAGGACCCTGCGCTGTTCTTTCGTCTGCTCGGCCCTCCCCGGGTTTGCTGCTGGTTCTTCCCGGGTTGGCTACTATCCCTTCCACCTCCGTGGAAGGGCAGTTCCCCCTGGCCACATTCCCCACTTCCGCAGGGGAGCGGCACACCGCCAGCCGGCTCTTCTCGGGGGCTGCACAGGTGTTCCTTCAGCTAGATGTTCCCCTTAGATGTTCCTGGTACATGCCGTCTCTCTCCTCCTTTATAGTCCTCCTCCGCCAATCCCAACTCGGCTGCCCACACGCCGAGTACGCTGCTCTCCTCCAATCAGTAGCAAGTCCTACAGTTTATTGGTTGAACTGGAGGCAGCTGTGCGGAAGCTGTTTACTTCTCTCCCAGCGCCATATTGTGAGAGAGCAGATGCATAGAATAAGTCTTAATTCCAGTAACTCAGTCTAGTCCGGGTTGCTCCCCACAGATCCCCCTTTCTTTTTATTTTTGGCGTTGATACGCGCCTGTCTTCGGT